CTGCTCCTAGCCAGCTCAGGTATTTCACATGTTCCAGCTCAAGCACACCCGATGCAACTAATGAAGCTCTTGATTAGTTGCATCAGGTGTGCTTGAGACAACACCTGTTTTGCATACTTGTGCTGTTGTGCGGGATTCTATTCAGGGGGTTGAATAATTCAGAAACTGGCGAAATCATTATAAGTTGCATTTTTTGTTGAATTTGGGGAAACCACTTGAAGCATTTGTAGCTAGTTAACTAAACCACAAAATGAGGAGCACAAGTTAAATCGAGATATCAATACAAGATAAGATAAAGTTAAAAAAAAGAAAACACAGGAAACATAGATAGGGTTTGTTCTCTACACTGCTTTTTATCTAGCTAGCTTACATGAGCAGGTCAGTTAGGTTGCTCTGTTGACCTTTTGTACATAGGGTTAATTCAACATTTAGCTGTGTAGAATGGCCACAATTTAAATGCAGCATTAATTAAAGGTAGGTGATACATTGACAGACCAGTGAGTGTTTGGAATATTGCACACACAATAACCCATTTATCTTCCATCCATCTTCTACCACTTATCCTTTTCAGGGTCGCGGGGAACCTGGAGCCTATCCCAGGGGCCATCGGGCACAAGGCAGGGTACACCCTGGACAGGGTGCCAGTCCATCGCAGGGCACAATCACACACCCATTCATACACTACGGATAATTTAGACACGCCAATCAACCTACCATGCATGTCTTTGGACTGGGGGAGGAAACCGGAGTACCCGGAGGAAACCCCCGCAGCACGGGGAGAACATGCAAATTCCGCACACACATGGCCCCGGCGGGAATCATACCCCGGACCCTGGAGGTGTGAGGTGAACGTGCTAACCACTAAACCACTGTGCGCCTGCACAATAATATAAATTTAATAATATTTTCTCACTAGTTAAAAGACAAGCACTTGTTGCAGGGGAGAGGTTTTTAAGTAGACAATACTTGTATTTTTTGTAACACTGAGAAAACAGCTGCATGTGATTACTCTTAGTTTCATTTACTTGGTCTATGTCCTAAACCACATAATACTGCATACTAAATACAGGGTATCCCAAAGTATCCATACATAGGGGATTCACACTTTTTAGCAAAATGTCTTCATAACTTTTTCATAGTTAGTTTATATTTTATATTTTCCCCCAGATAGCCTTTAAGAATGGCTTTGACAAAAGATGAATTTATTCTCAAGGCTGGATCAGGAAGCTGTCGAAAGGTTGCGATGGACTTTAACAGGAAACATGGCAAGCACATCACACACAACACTGTTGCCAAACTCATGAGCAAATTCAAAAAGACTGAAAGTGTTGCTGAACAGCTGAGAAATAGATGTCCACAAACATCCACTGATGAAGGCACAACCGACATGGTGCTGGCATGCATAGTCCCCCATGTATGGAGATAACTGGGACACCCTTTAGTATGTTAGTAAACCAGTTGTGTCTTTGGGGACACAGGCTTGAATTAGCATTAAATGTGTATTTACTTGCAAATAGTGGAACAACCCTAAAAGATGATCTGCATTGACAATCTAGATATCTGATTATATAGTAGCCTATATTAGATTATATTATATATCTACCTGATTAACTTTAAGGGAATGATTTTTCTGAAGTATTTTATTTTTTTAACCACTTCAAAGCACTAAATCCCCAAATTTTACATTCAACAATCTAAAGTTTTGGAGGTTAGTTAACTGGAGATTATGAAGATTTTTTTTTTTTTACCCATGCAATTCAATCAATATAAAGCCATAGTATCAATATGAATCTTAATTCTGGTGCATCAACAAAAGACCTGTTTCTTGCACTCCCAGTCACAGTTGGCACACTGCACGGCTTCCTCGTTATCCGCAGAATTATCCACCAAGAACTTCAGCAGGCGGTCCTCTGGAGGAAGTGCATTCACCCCTTTCACAATAGACTGGTGGCTGAAAGGCACAAAGGAAAGGAAAGCACATCTCACTTGCTGTTTCTGTTCCATTTTAGAAAGTTAGAGAGATGTTTTTTAAATCCTACATTATTCATACATCTGCTATATACAGTATCTACCACGCCCTTTCTCTTGCCATCATAGTAACAAGGATAGAAATATCATTGTGCTGAATTCCTGGATAAAACAGTGTTTGTAAAGATAGATACAAAAAACAGTCATGAGTGTAAGCCAGGATTTCCATGATCTCTGAACAATTATTAAAGGTTTACATAATTCCGAATATAAACCAGTGTAGTTCATATTTCTACTACTATTTCCAATTTAATAGCAATGCATACAAGCTATGCAAGCACTTTTAAACTCATACTTACATAAACATGTTAATTTAACCATGACGGTTTCCCCTTTTTTGACGAATGTCCTTATATTTGATATCCATAAGTATTCTATAGAAGTTAGCTGTTGCATGACTCGCTTTTCCACACAAGGAGAAAGGACAGTACAGAGAAAGTGTAGCTGTCTCTAATCATACATGGTACAAGATAAGGGTACATGCCCAGTGATTGTCTGACGCCGCAGTGGCCTTACTGAAGTATGCCATGTGTATTTCTATCCAGGCTAAAACAAGGGCTGGATTTATACTGCAGCTGTTGATTGCTGCCTCTGGTATGCCCTGGTATTGGGGAACTGAATGAATGCATGTCATTCTGAGCTGCGAACATGATGCCAAGCTGTTCAAATGTAACACACTGGACATTACAATTGAATTGTACTAATTTATCATTCCTGCTATTTACAGCCCTAAACTAGAATCATGTTTTTACAACACAGACTTTGTAAGGAATAAAACACTACTGGGTGTGTTGTTATAGGATAATAATCAACAACAGGAAATCGTATATTCCATTTATATCACAGAGGTTTGCCAAGAATTACAGTATATATGTTTTAATTGTTCATGATACAATGTACTTTTCATTAGTTTATGTTTAATGTAGTGTCCTTGAATAATTATAGTTCCTGCTATTACTTACATTTATAGTAACTAAAAAGAGTTGTCATTTTTTGAAAAGACAAAAATCCAACTTGATCAAGAAAAGGCAAATGCATCCATCCAATCAGAATCGAGCATACAGCAGCGCTGTGGTATTGTGCAAAATAATGATGTTATGTTAAAGTTCTTTTGTTTGTAGTTGCGTTAGCATGTTCTTACCCACAGAAGGGGCAAGTGAGCCGGCTGTCCACAGCTCTACCACGCAGGCAGCTGGCACAGAAAGTGTGGTAACAGTCCAGTAGGCACGGATGCTCATACTGCTCCCTGCACAAGTGGCATACCAAGGGGTGACAGTTTGCACTGTCTGGGTCGAAAAGTTTATCCAAAGGAGAGAAGATTCCTCCAGACATCTGCAAAGGCAGACAAGCTCTTCATCTCTTCACAGAATCTCAGGAAGGAACTGATGTGTCATACACTAAAACAGTGCCTAGACTCATCAAATTAGAAAAAAAAGATCACTGGTTCTTCAACCATGAAGTCCAATAATGAGCTAAGACACACTCATGGAAAATACTCAAGGGTTCTTTGGATGGTTAACATTTCTAGCTATTGAAAGAGGTTCTACCTGGAATTTTTTCTGAAAGGACAACCCTTTCTAGCTTCTACATAGAAACTATAGTGTTCTCCCAGATGGACAAACCAAAGAACCCTGTAGAGTGATAAATGGAAGCCTTTATTCTAAGAGTATAAAAACCAAAAAAATAAAATCATACTAAACATGGCAGGCAAAATGTCACATGAAAAGTGGCACATGTAACAATGAGAAATAAAATCAACACAGAGACATTAATTCACCTTGCTGTTGTCCTAGCTGCTGTCTGTGACTGGAATGAAAGACATGCAGAGGGTTTGTCAGCCTGCCTAGACAGAGTGCTGGCCTTGACGTCAGGAGAACCAGGGAATGTGGGGGTGGTTTGTTAATGCCCAAATATCCCACCCGATATTCCAGATACCCTTTGTTTATCAGTGACTGACAAAAATAGCATGTCTTTTATTATATATATTATATTTTATTATATTGGCTCTTTTCATCTGGGTCAGTGAATAATCCAGTGATAAAAGTATTCTAAAATAAGACACTGACAGATTGTAAATGTAGATATCTGATTTAAACACTTTAAGTATTCTAAAGCTAGCTGATGGACTAAAGTAAACTCAAAAGAAAGCAGGTTTAATATACTATGTTTCAAAATACATCCAAATAGAGGGTCCAAATATATTCACTTTACATAAATAGACCCATTAGGAATTATAAACAGTATGCAGGTGACTGCCACATTGAACATTCTCTGAAGAACTAGACCTAACTTAAGTGTCACAGTATGTGGATAAAAGATATTAGTAACAATGATCAAAACTGAAGATTTGCTTTTGACATTGTGCTGTTGAAATGTTTATAATAAAATTACTGGGATGATTATAATTAACATGACCAGTCCTGGCAGTAGTATTAGTTAGACCTAAGTGCAAATACAACTAAGTGCTAAACTATATGATATATACAAAATAATATGAATGTATGCATTTTCCTTTGTATTATAACTTTTATAATTTTAGTCTTGTTATTGTTTTTAGTCATTTATTTTTCCATTTTATTTAAAAAACCATGATATTACAAAAAATATGTAAAGATAATTTTTAAAATGCAGGTTCGAAATGTATTATTATTATTATTATTATTATTATTATTATTATATTATTATTATTATTATTATTATTATTACTACTACTACAACTACTACTACTACTACTACTAATAATAATAATAATCTTCGTACCTCTTATCCTACACAGGGTTGTGGGGGAGCCTGGAGCCCATTGGAACTCAGGCACATGGTAGGGAACACCTTGGAATGGGTACCATCTCGTCACAGTGCCATTTACACACTACAGACAATTTGGAAATGCCAATAAGTCTACAACACATGTCTCTGGACTGAAGGAGGAAACCCCCAAAGCACAGAGAAAACATGAAAACTCCACCAACACAGGGCAGAGGCAGGAATCGAACCCAAAACCCCATGGGTGCAAACGTGCTAACCACTAAGCCACCGTACCTCCATAATAATAATAATAATAATAATAATAATAATAATAATAATAATAATAAACGATTGCAGACCCTTAAAGGACAATGAAAAGGATTAAGAAATTATTCTAAACAAGTTGTTTAGTGTCAGTTAGATTTTAAAAATCTTTATTATTTATTTATAAATTTATTTGTTTATATATATATATATATATATATATATATATATATATATATATATATATATATATATATATATATATATATATATATATATAATTTTATTTTTGCAAACTTTTGCTCTCAAATGTCAAACACTGCTATATCGATGTATCGACCGCGTCTGCGCTCGATTAGAGACTACAGCGCGCATGCGCAGTCGGTGTTCTTCCTCTCGCTCAGGTTTTCCGTCATGGCGCCGCTGGTGAGTGATCCTATGGTCGAATTCAGTTAGAAATGTACATGTGTTATCTCCGCTCTGTGTTGTTGTATTAGCACTGACTGCTCTGTTGGATATGTCTCTATCATACTATAAACTGATAGGACATTTTCTAAAGCCAGTTTTGCTTTCATTTGCTAATTCGCGTGGGCGTCGTGAATGAAGCTAAGCTAACCACTTAACACAAGCTATTGAGTTAAGAGCTAAGTCTGTTTACATGTTGCCAATAAACAAAGAGGTGTTTTTTTTTTGTTTGTTTTTTTATATAAATCAGACGTGATTATAATAAAATTTCATCGTTGCTTAGGGACAATATAGAAATAGACCAGTATTAGCTTGCATCCATTGACAGAAGGATTTATTGTTTTATTTTCTCTCACTTAAAAAAAAACCCTATTTTTATTTATTTGTTTGTTTATTTATTTATTTACAGAGGAGGCAAGCTGTGCCTAGCAAAGGTGGCAAGAAAAAGAAGCAAGTGTTGAAGTTCACTCTGGACTGTACGCACCCGGTCGAGGATGGCATCATGGATGCGGCCAACTTTGTAAGCTGTTTTCTCTTTCTTCTTCTTTTTCTGCTCCAGGGTTTTCACTTATGTGTACAGGTGTTATGGTTTGACATCGTCCTGGTGTCATAACCATGTCTAAAAATGGCACAGTTTAGCCCGATCACGGTATGTCTTCTCACATCCTAGTCCTTGGTCTACCTCGGGGTCTCCTCCCCGTTGGACATGCCTGAAACCCCCCCCCAGGGAGCCGTCCAGGATTCATCCTAACTAGATGTTCCAAACACATCAGCTGACTTCTTTTGATGCAGAGTAACAGCGACTCTACTTAGAGCTCCCTCCGAATGTCCGAGCTCCTCGCTCTGTCTCGAAGGCCTTATCACCATCTTATTGTGGTGGAGTGGTTTGTGTGCCCCACTGATCCTAGGAGCTCTGTTGTCGTGCGAATAGCCCCTGGCAGGGACTCCCAAGGCGAGCTGGGTCTAGGTGAGGGGCCAGACTAAAGTCGGGTTCACAATGTGCGATTTATTTATTTATTTTTTAATAGTCCTTTGCGACTGTTGCTGGTCGGACTGTACGGACTTGATCCCCGCTGTAAGCCATGTCACACTGTAGGATCTCAGTGGTCATTAATGTCAGACTACGACAGTCAAGACACGAAAAAAGAACGCACGCAAGACGACTGGTACGGAGTAGGAGAAGCCACAGTACAGGACAGTGCCTCAAATCTTCTGACACTGGCAGAATTTAATCAGAGGAAAAATTTGATCAAAATGGCTGGATTATAGGAATCTTTTAGGATTCTCCAAATTTGTCTCGGACAACCAAATCATGCACAAAATCGTACAGTGTGAACCTGGCTTAAGAGCGAGTCAAAGATCCTTGTGACAGATAAAACCAAGGACCCATATACCTCACCTGGAATAGGGAAACCATGGCCCCTTTTGGGGGGGGGGGCCTGGTCGTTGGGACCTTACCCAAGGGGGCTGGGCCGAGCAAAACCCGAACGAGCTACATGGGACCGTCCTCTTGTGCGCTCACCACCTGCGCACCTTGTTTATCTGTCGTGCATGTACTGCTCATGTCATGCTTCAAAATCATCCGTTATGCATACATGCCTGTAGAGCTGCAACAACTAATCAGTTATGAAAATTGTTTTCAGTGATTCTCATTATTGATTGGTTGGTCTGCACGGGGTACATTTACTCGTTACGTTACTTCTATTCCGAAAACGCATCGCAGAGTAAATATTAAAGTTGTGTCCCAAATGACGTATTGTACACTTGCACTATGCATTGTGTACTCTACAGTCTATTGTATGAATTTTAGAAAGGTAGCATTGTCTCAAATCGAACACTCGCAGGTTTATACTAACCTGACATATAAGCCGTTTCCCAGTCGATGGCGCATGACATCATACGCACGTAATACGACGCCGCTAGCTTTAGCAGATACCCAGAGTCACGACAATGACTTTCTTCAGTTTACTGTTTGCCAGTGTAACTTTTATGCCCAGCTTGACCTCATTCACCATTAGGTGGCGGCGTAATCAAGTGACGAGGAAAAATGTGTGCAATGCAAGTCCTCTAAGGCAGGGGAGCATTTTATATTAAATGCCGTGAAGGAGCTTGCAAAGTGCAAACTTTACAAAGTGAAGCTTGTGTAGCATGGGAGTACGACAGTGATGCACGTGCACAAATAAAATGCACGTGTTTATATCTGAAATGCTCCACTGTTTAAGGGCTTGGGGGAAATTGGTGTAATTTGTTTAAAAGGTTTAGCTTAATTCAAGTTTGTCATTACATGCTGTATTTGTGTAAATGCTGTAGTTTCTTATAATGAAAGCGATCTATTAGTAACGAGGCTGCGTTCCTCCCACTCGCAATATAGACACGAGTGAGGAGCAACCGTCCTCGTATAATTCAATCGATACAATCAAGGTCAGTGAGCAACAGAAACCACAAGGTGCAGTGAAAGTGATTTCTTTTATTATTCATTTAAGACTGTAGTTTAATTATCACTGCATTTTTGTAGATGCATAAAAATGATGCGTAAATACTTTTATTTATATATATATATATATATATATTAATGGGAATTTCAGATCATTTTACTGACTCTGATCTTTGATGCTCATTCAGCAAAATGAACTAATCTTTTTTCGAGCCATTTCGTTCATTTCAGCAGCATTTAATTAAAGTGTGTGAGTGAGTGATGGATCATACAGCTGTCTTCAATGAAATGTTTCTGATTAAACCAAATAAAGACCAGCTGTTTCTTTAGACTTTTCTTCACATCTTCTTGGTTTCATCTGACCGCTGAAGCCATGGTCCGCAAACAGCTCATGTTTTAAGATCAGTAAAGTTATGATGATTCACTCCGTTTTGCTGTGCGAGAGCGCTTTTCTTCCTGTTTTCTTCAAGACAAAAAGTCGCATCATAATAAAGTAAGCATGGTCAGGCCCGGAACGTTAAGTGCAGTGTGAGTGCAGGCCAGTGATTTTATTGCAAAAACTTCAGGTGTGTGCTAGTAAGCTGGAGATGAAAAGGAATTTCACCTTTCAGCATGACAGTGACGCAAAGCATACATTCAAATCAACAAAGGAATGGCTTAAGCTAAAGATCAATATTTTTGAATGACCACACCTGAATCCAACTAAAAATCTGTAATGTGACCTGAATCCACAGGCTGTGCACAGAAGATTTGGTGAATCTACAATGTTTTTTCAAGAAAGGGTGGGAAAATATTGCCAAGTCAAAATGTGACATACTGATAAACTCACTCAAGACTGAGTTGTTTAATAAAATCAAAAGGTGCTTCAACAAAGCATTAGTTTAGGGGTATGCACACTTTTACAACCAGGTTATTGTACGTTTTTATTTTCCTTTTTTCCCGTAAAACAGTTTCAGATTTTTTTTTCATTAGATTTTGCAGATTTACATTAAAGGTGGGAAAAGGTCTGACATGATTGACCTTAGTTTTATTCTTTAATTCACAGAAACCTGCCATTTTAACCAGAATGTGAAGACGTTTTATATCCACTGTATATTAAAGTGCATCTATTATGGTTTTGAAACGTGCCTAATTTTTTTTAAAGGTCTTGTAAAATAGATTTACAGGCATCCAAGATCAAAAACACTTTCAGGTGCTCATAATTTAAATTGTAGCATCGCCCCCAGTGACTCGTTAAGTGATCTGTTCTAAAGGATTCATTCTTTAGGGGGCAGTGGTGGCTTGGCGGTTAAGGCTCTGGGTTACTTACCAGAAGGTAGGGGGTTCAATTCAATTCCAATTCAATTTTATTTGTATAGTGCATTTTATAACAGACATTGTCTCAAAGCAGCTTTACAGAAATATTAACATGGTATACAGATATTAAATGTATGAATTTATCCCAACTGAGCAAGCCACTGAGTGGCGACGGTGGCACGGAAAAACTCACTAAGATGTTTAAAGCAAGAAACCTTGCGAGGAACCCGACGAGAAGGGAACCCATCCTCATCTGGGTAACAACAAACAGTGTGAAATAGTACAGTATGGATGTACATGAAGTCTGTATGGCCTTCGGAGCAGCCGTAGTCCCAGCCGTCTGGAATTGGAGAAGATTTGAACTCCATCCAGAGGCTGAAATGATCTGGATCTCTAGTATCTCCATAAATTCGTGTGTCTCGGCAAAAGGAGAGAGGGAGAAAAAAGATTATTATGACTGCGAAGTAGTCAAAATAGAATCTAGTCAGGGTAGGCTTGAGTAAACAAATACGTTTTAAGCCTAGACTTAAACACTGAGATTGTGTCTGAGTCCCGAACACTAATTGGAAGACTGTTCCATAACAGTGGGGCTTTATAAGCAAAGGCTCTTCCCCCTGCTGTAGCCTTCACTATTCAGGATACCGTCAAATAGCCTGCACCTTTTGATCTAAGTAGGCGTGGCGGATCATATAAAACCAGAAGGTCGCTTAGATATTGTGGCGCGAGACCGTTCAGTGCGTTATAGGTTAATAAAAGTATTTTATAGTTAATGCGAGATTTTACTGGGAGCCAATGCAGTGTGAATAAGATCGGGGTGATGTGGTCATATTTTCTAG